ATCATAGGAGACAGCAGACAAACCTGAATCAATAGACAGTCTGCAAATTAACTGGCCTGTAATACTAAAATAAATAAATAAATAAGGGTATAAAGGTCAAGAACAGACTGAGTCACTCTTCCAGATAGAAGGAGACTGAAGAGGCATGACAATTAAGGCAACATGTAGATTAGATCCTTTTGTTATAAAAGTCCTTCTTGGGACAGTTGCCAATACTTGCATGGAGTCTCTGGGTAAAGAATGTATGAGAAGCTATTCTTGCAACTTTTCTTTAAGTTTAAAATGAGTAAAACTAAAAACAAAATAAGTAACAACCTAAACTCTGTCTGATTCCAACCAGTTGTCATTAATTCCAACTTGTGGTGACCCTATGTGTTTCAGAGTTGTCGTTGTTATGTGCCATCGAGTCAGACCCGACTCATAGCAACCCCTCCTTGGGTTTCTGAGGCAGTTTCACTATGGAAGTAGATTGCCCAACCTTCCTTCTGAGGAGTGGCTGGTAGGTTTGAACTGTCAGCCCTCTGGTTAGCAGTCAAGTGCCTTAGGCACTAGGCTACCAGAGCTCCCTTATGGAAGCAGCCTGCCTCATTTTTTCTTCTGCAGAGCAGTTGGTGAGTTCAAACCACCGACCTTTTGGTTAACAGCCAAATGCCTTAACTACTATACCACCAGAGCGCCATGGTTTTTGGTTTACACCTATTTTGCCTGCTAACAATTTGTGTGACTTTTGGTAAAAGGCTTTCTCTTTCTGAGCCTATTTGTCCCTATTGCAAAACAAGATCTCCAGATTTAAAAAAAAAAAAAAAAAAAAAAATCACTTCTGTTATTCTAGTCCAAACATGGTAGCACTCCACATACCCCCCTAACACCCACCCCAGTTTGAAGAAAGGATTTGTGGCTGAGCTCCTAAGATAAGTGGCTTTGTGATCTGCCTTCACCATCCTTGAACACAATCCTGGTTTCCACCAGCAGACGACCCAATGCTGGCACTGTTTGAAGCCCTGGGCTCACTGTGAGGGTAACTCTCAATCACAATTGGCTGGAAACAGGATTCTTAGACATCAGTGAGTATTCATTGGACTCACCTGGTGGGGGCGCTTGTTTAAAAGGCAGATTCCTGGTAAAGCCGCCTAATCCTGCTTTAAACCCACAGGGGTTTATTTGTTGCACATTGTAAATATTGAAAATTCAGATGTGGACAGATGCAGCTGGTGCATCAGAGTCTTGACTCCCCTTTCTTTCCATATCATCAAATTTAGCACTGTACCTGTGCTCATTGACTCACGTGGCTCCTGCTTCTTGAACCAGGGGCTTGGACAAGTTCATTCTGGTTTGACCCCTTGCTGAGAATTTGCGTTCCCACCCCAGATATACTGAATCAGAGCCCACAGTTTAACAAGATTCCCCAGGTGATTCTTACTTCCTTGCCTCCTTCAGGACTTTGCTCAAATGCCACCCTTTCAATGAGAGCTTTAAAATTGCAACCCTACACCTCCATGCCAAGTACCTAGAATGCTCCAGCTCCCTTCTCAGCCTTTTTTCCCTGTAGCACTTTTTTTCTCCACAGCACTGTCTGACATACAATATGTTTTGCTTGTTTAATGTCTTTATCCCCACCCTAGAATGTAAGCACTATGAAGACAGGGGCTTCTGTCTATTCTGTTCACAGCTGTATTCCCAGTACTTAGACTCAAACCTGGAACATCTGAGTAATAGGTGCTCAGCAAATATTTGTCAAATGAATGAACGAATGCACTTCCAGGAAGTGCATTTGAATTCCAGGCAGGAAGAAGAAAAGGGAAAAAGAGAAGTGGGTAATGTCTATGTCAACGCAAAACAAAAAACCAAACTCACTGCCATTGAGTCAAATTCTGACTCATAGTGATCCTATAGAACAGAGTAGAACTGCCCCATAGGGTTCCCAAGGCTGTAGATCTTTACAGAGCAGACTGCCACATCTTCCTCCCACAGAGTGGCTGGTGGCTTCAAACTGCTGGTTCTTTGGTTAGCAGTTGAACACTTTAACCACTGAGCCAGAAGACTGGCAGTTCAAACCCACCAGGTGCTCTGAGGAAGGAATATGGGGCAAACTACTTCCATAAATATTTACCATCTTGGAAACCCAATGGGAATTGCTATGAGTTGGAATCGACTCAATGGCAGTGGGTTTGCTTTTTGACTGCTATCACAGGACTCTAGAAAATCGCCTACCTTACATACACTGGGGTGACCCCACTGATAATGGGAAGAACATTTTGTATAATAGGACCTCTAGGCAAAGGGTCTGAGAGTTAATTTTATTAACAACCATGTACATTGAGGTAAATCACTCTGCCCCTTCATCTTTAGCTTTCACATATTGTAAGACATGGAGGGTGCCTGTCCATTTTCCTGAGGAACAGGTAGAATAGAGTGGTAGTATGGCCCGGAAGTAAACACATGGCCTTTAGAATCTGGAAGTCCAGCTTCATCACTGTGTCTTTAGACAATCTCTCTAAATCTCATCTGTAGACCAATGTCAGTAATTCCTATCTGGGGAGGATTACTTGCATTAGTGCATGTAAAGCACCTAACATAATACCTGACATAACACCCTCTCAAATAGCACCACCACATCAATCCTGGCCACATTAGACCTCAGTGCTAAGGCCTGGGACAGAGGCAGGTAGCCCCTCCAGGAAGCCTTCAGTGCCAAAACAACCAGTTTGCTGCAGTGTTTTTTTGCCCCAGGCTAATCTCAGTGCTCTCCTGGGAGTAATAGTTCATAGCTTTGTTTTTTTAGCAGTTAACTACTTTTCATTTTCTGTAAGATTTCCTCTTTACAAAGAGCCAATAGCTAGAACTTAGAGGAAGGGAAAAGAGACTCTTAGGAGAAAGGACAAGGAGGAAGATGCAGATATGCTAAGCACATCTATGTGTGCTACCGACGTGTGTCAGAGTAAAACTGTTCTCCATAGGGTTTTCAATGGCTTTTTTTTCTCCTTTCTATAGATAGCCAGGCCTTTCTTTTGAGGCTCTTCTGGGTGGATTGGAACCTCTGACCTTCTAGTTATCAGTCAAATGCTGTAACTGTTTGCATTACACAGAACTCTATGTGATTCACATGTGCTAGTTCCTGCTTGAATTACTTCTTGGCTGATAAATGGAAGTGCAGGGGAGGGTATGGTATTGACAGCTATCTGGATACCAACCAGGCAGTTTTGAAATCTACTGACTAAAAAACCCTCAAGTTGATTGTGATTCATGGTGACCCCTGTGTCAGAGCAGGACTGTGCTCCGTAGGGTTTCCATGGCTGATTTTTCAGAAGTTGATCACCGGGGCTTTCTTCCAAGGTGCCTCTGGATGGACTCACCTTTTGGTTAACAGCCAAGCACTTAATTGTTTGGGCCACTCAGGGACTCCTGAAATCTAAAAGGAGCTCAAAATTAACTATTGGGGGCCACTAGCCTAAGGAAATGGGGCAATCTACTTCTGTAGTGATACTGCCTTGGAAATCCAAGGAGGGGTCACTGAGTCAGGTCCGACTCGACAGCACAAAACAACAACAGCCTAGAGTATGCACAGCTGCTGCCACAGCTGGGGCACAGACTTCAGAGTCGAGGCTGAGACTTGCCCCTCAGCCCGACTGAGCAGATAGATCCTCTCTTACTAGGCAGCCAGTTCTTTTTCAAGGTGCTGATAACTGCAGCTGGAGTTCCAAAAGCTCTTGAATTCCTATGAGGAAGGGAGAAAATGAAAAAGGAAGGAGAAGAAAAGAAAGAAACTAAGCAAAGAGAAGAAAAGGAAGGCAACCAACTCCATAACGATACTCATTCCTTTATTGTCAACTGTGGTAATTTGAACATGGCTGGGGCCTGCAGGCTGCTGGCTGCACTGAGTTGCAGGTGCATTTCAGCTCAACAGAGAGGTCTCCATCCTAAGCCAAGGGGACAGAGGATAATGTTCTTTTATTTTTTTAAATATATATATTTATATATTACATATGTCTGTTATAGCCATATGCATAGAGTGACGAGAATGGGCCACTGCATTGTTAACTGTTGTCCTAAATAAAGACCATAGCAACAGACATGGAAATTTGGTCCTAATAAAGGCCCTTATTTTGTCAGTCAAGTGTCTGGTACATCAAAAGGAAAAGGAGGGGGAGAGACAAAGAGACTGAGATCCAGCCACCCATGGTGGCCCTGTCCCAGCATATCTTACGCTGAGTGTGGAGTATCCCCTGTGGAGGTAAACACACACACAAACACGCACACACATACACACGTACACAAAACTGCAGGCAGGAGCTCCTCCTCGGACCACACCTCAGGCCCAGCCTTCAGACTGGGGGTGGTGAAGTTGGGTATATTGTGCTATAAGACTGTGAGGAATGAGTGCCCAGACAATGTACAGTCAACGTGTCCAAGTGATGAATGGGGGTGACACGTGCTGCTTCATCTACAAACGAGACAGAGGTCAGTGGGAGAGGCTGCTCGATACAGCCATAGAGGTCTTCTGAGCCCAGGCGCTTAACATACAACTCCTGTCCCAGCCATAGCCAAACCTCTCATCTGACTCCTGACTCTCAAATAATCCCTTAGGCTCTGATGAAAAATGTGATTTCCTTAGAAGACAGGGGCAAATGGCAATGGAGTTGCCCAACCACATAGTCCAGTAATGACAGGAGAAATGACAGCATTGTTGACTTAAACCAAACCAAAGCTTGATCCTCAGAACAGAATGTGAATTATACGAGAAGGGCTCATTTCCTGATGGAAAGAGACCAACCAGGTAATCAGCCCCCACCCACCTCCACCTCCCACACATCAAATTTCAGGTAGATCTGTCTCATGCCTTTACCCCAAAGATGGAATTCCTCATATTTTAGGATCTGGAAACTCCCACTATTTTGGCATTTTGAAACCCTAAATCACTTGTTCATTCATTATTACCCTCTCCCCTCTTAACCAAGATATGCACTTAGGAAACAATGAAAATTAACCTCCTTTTTGAAAAATAGAAATCTGCTTATCATTTGATAAGATATCTTGGGATGTCACAAAGGGAGGTGAGGACTACTGCCCTAAGGACCAAAACTGCACAACTGCTGGAAAAAATGGTCAGTTTTCAACAAAATGGTATCCCCTAAATTATGATTCAGAAACACAGGTAACAGGCAAAGCTATCAATGATTGTGTCTGGGTCTCTTTCTCCTGTGCTAAATGAGGAGGAAAAGCAATGAATTTAAATATCTTTATTGAGCCAGGGGTAGAATGACACTGACACCGATCCCCTCTCTGTGAACTGGGAACCAGGCAGCTACAGAGAAGAAAGATCAAAGCAGGGAGGAGCATCATCTCAAATACGGGGAGTCAGCTTGATTTCTTGTTGACCAAAGTGACTCCTTGGAGGGGACAGAAACAAAGGGACCATAAAGAGGACTTTCTTTGATGATCATCCAGCTTGTCTTAATTATTGTTCCAATTTCTGCAGGTCCCGAGGAGGCAGCAACTAGTCGGTTTGCAATTCCCATCCAAGGGTTGGAAAGGTGGGAGGAAGCAGAGTTTGGGAAGCTGTGAGTTCTGCCAAAGCTGAAGAGTATGAGCTGTGCCAGTGAGGCCATGTAAGTCCTTGAAACAGAGCTGAGAGGCCGAAAGAGGTTATCTGGGCCTCAGAAAGTAGACAGCAGGGTTCTTTCCACTGGAAGCGCAGGCCCAACACTGTCGGGATGTTTTTTGTCCTTGGTGAACACTCTGTATTTTTCTAGTCCCACAAAATGCTTAGGACCTGCTCACCATCAGTAGAGATGGAAATCATGGAGTAAGACAGGTAGAAAAAGTATTCTCTCCTCAGGCACTGGCCACTTTCCCTTCTGGGACAGCTGACATGGGGAAGAGCTTGAGGTCTGACTGGGGAGTTCAAAGTCAGAAGAAAAGGAGGCTATGCAGCAACCACTGCAGGCCCAGACAGCTCAATTGAGGGCATCTCCCTCATACTAACTGAACTCCACGAATAAATAACATGAATTAAATAAAGGAAGCTAAGAAGAGCAGGCAGAGGTACTGTCTGCCTGATTCTCACCCCTTCACACATACGCACACACACATGCACACACACGCACGCACACCAAGCGGCAGATGAGATGATCCAGGGTTGACTGCCCTGTTCCCAGAGTCTGTCGGATGGGCAGCCTGACCACGAAGGCTGTCATTCATGGTCTAGCACTGTTGTGGGGTGCAGAGAAGCGGAGGCCAGCGAGGCATGTGTGGTGGACAACGGAGGCCGCTGAGGACTCTGACACCTGCAGGGTGTAAAGATGAGGTGTGGTGAAGGGGAGGTTAGGGAAATGCAGGAAACAGAAAAGTGATGTATTTCTTCCCCTCATCCTCCTGCTGTAAGAACTTTTCCCCAACAGCCTCATTCACTATCTTATCTCCTGCCCTTTGAGGACAACCAACCAAAACCCTTTTCAGCCTCAACCAGTCCATGGAGTTCCCTTGCCTCCTAAGTCCAATGTTCCCACTGACCATGGTGATACTAACCAGGATCTGGATTTTCGGACTTTAGAGGTGGAAGGTCTTTCGAGAAAGCTGTCCAACCGCATGAGCCTCTCCATATGTAGTGCACGGGGATCTTGTTCTTGGTCATGAGAGAATTCCATCTCAAAGACAGCTGGAGGGGACACGTCCAACTCCAAAAACATTATGTTTTCAGCCTGTGGTGGGCATATGATATGAGCAGAAGCCCTGATGACTGAACCTTCTAGGCACTCAGTAAATTTTGGGTATAGGGAGAGGATGAGGTAATTAGAGGAAGCAGAACCTTGGATCATCACCTTCATTGAGCTTGCCCTCCCCTTACCCCTTCCATTTTCCAGCTTCTTACCCTGTATCTAAGGTGGGATCCCATTGCCATGGCAACCCGAGCATACTGGCTGATGGGCCTCTTATAGCCTACTGCAGAAGTTGGCCGCTTCTTCATTTGGCTGTTATTGCTGTAGGAAAGAAGTTGTATTAGAATGAATTTCCTTGGAAAACAAAGAGAAAATGATATCACATAGGAAGCCAGGAGGCCCTACAGATAGCCTGTTCTGGAATTTCCTTATCCTTTCTTTCACACAACCTGACAACTAAAACTGGTCTGACACTCTTGTTGCTCTATTTTTTTTTTTTTTCACTCTAAAGAGGGCTTTATTGAAAGCTAGAATGAAGAAAGTCAATCCCTTTTTAGCTTTCAGACTCACATACTGACTTCACACGCTACACAAAACTGCTGCTGATTGCCAACTTTGCTTTTTATTTTCCTTCATAAGAGACAGCATAAGAAAATGGTTAAAAACTCATGCTTGAAGTGTAAGGGTCCAAGAACAGCCACAACAATCTTGAAAAAGAAGAATAAGAGTGGAGAACTCACACTTGATTTCAAAACTTACTACAAAGCTACTATGGCACTGTGGTGCAGGCATAGGATAGACATACAGATCAGTGGAACAGAATTGAGAGTCTATAAATAAACCACTGCATTTGTGGTCAACCGAGTTTCGACAAGGATGTCAAGGCTATTCAACTGGGCAAGAATAGCTTTTATCATCAAATGGTACTGAAACAAACCAAAAACTAAAAACTCACTGCCATCAAGTTGATTCTGACTCACAGCGACCCTATAGGACAGGGTAGAACTGGCCCATAGTGATTCTAAGGTGGTAATTTTTACAGCAGCAGACTGCCACATCTTTCTCCTGTGGAACAGGTAGTGAGTTCAAACTGCTAGCCTCTCAATTAGCAGCCAAGCGCTTAAGCACTGTACCACCAGGGTTCCTGACAACTGAGTAGCCATATGCAAAAGAATGAAGTTACACCATATATAAAAAGTAACTCAAGCTTTTTTCCAATGGGTTTGCTGCCAGGACAAAAGTGTTGGCAAAAATCATTGTAAAATCTAAGCCAAAAAGGGAAAGGAAAAACTCCTATCAACATCATTGTCATTGGACATGTAGGTTCATTTGGGCAAGGCCACCACTACTGGTAACCTGACCTACAAATGTGGTGGGATCAATAAAAAACCATCAAAAATTTTGAGAAGGAACCTGCTGAGATGGGAAAGCTCCTTTAAGTATACCTAGGTCTTGAATAAACCCAAAGCTGAATATGCGTGTGGCATCACCACTGATATCTCCCTGTGGAAATCTGAGACCAGCAAGTACTATGTGACCATCATTGGTGCCCCAGGACCCAGAAACTTTGTAAAAAAAAACATGATTACAGGAACATCACAGGTTGGTTGTGCTTTCCTGATTGTTGCTGCTGGTGTTGGTGAATCTGAAGCTGGTGTTTCCAAGAATGGGAAGACCTGTGAGCACGCCCTTCTGGCTTCATGCCCTTCTGGCTCTCACTAGGTGTGAAAAACAGTAAGTGTTGGTGTTAACAAAATGGATTCCACTGAGCCACCTGAGAGCCAGAAGATATGAGAAAATTGTTAAGGAAGTCAGCACCTACATTAAGAAAACTGGCTACAACCCTGAAACAGAAGCATTTGTGCCAATTTCTGGTTGGAAAGGTGACAACAAGCTAGAGCCAAGTGCTAACCTGCCTTGGTTCAAGGGATGGAAAGTCACTCACAAGGATGGCAGTGCCAGTGGAACCACATTGCTTGAAGCTCTGGAATGCATCATGTCACCAACTCATCCAAATGACAAGCCCCTGTATCTGCCTTTCTAGGATGTCTACAAAATTGGCGGTATTGGCACTGTCAAACTGGGCATGGTGGTCACTTTTGCTCCAGTCATTGTTACCACTGAAGTAAAGTCTGTTGAAATGCACCATGAAGCTTTGACTGAAGCTCTGCCTGGGGAAAATGTAGGCTTCAATGTCCAGAACATCTCTGTCAAAGATGTTCATCGTGGCAATGTGGTGGGTGACATCAAAAATGACCCACCAATGGAAGCAGCTGGCTTCACTGCTCAGGTGATCATCGTGAATCATCCAGGCCAAATCAGTGCTGACTATGCACCTGTGGTGGAATGTCACACAGCTCACACTGCTTGCAAGTTTGCTGAGTTCAAAGAGAAGAGTGATTGCTATTCTGATAAGAAACTGAAGAATGGCCCCAAATTCTTAAAGCCTGGTGATGCTGCCATTGTTGACGTGGTTCCTGTGAAGTCCATGTGTGTTGAGAGCTTCTCTAACTATCCTCCTCTTTTTGCTGTTCGTGATATGAGACAGATGGTTGCTGTGGATGTCATGATGGCAGTGGATAAAAAGGCTGCTGGAGCTGGCAGAATCACCAAGTCTGCTCAGAAAGCTCAGAAGGCTGATGAAAATTATTCATAACACCTGCCCCAAGAATGGTCTCAGGATTATTTGTATCAATTGGCCATTTAATTGTAAAATACTGGGTAATGAAAACAGTGCATCGTAAAACCTTCAGAAGGAAAGGAATGTTTTGTGGACCATTTGTTTCTTTTTTTAATGTGGCAGTTTTAAGTTATTAGTTTTAAAAATCAGTACTTTTTAAGTGGAAACAACTTGACCAAATATTTGTCACAGAATTTTGAGAACCAATAAAACAAAGCTTAATGAGGAACCTGTTTCTTCTTTTGGACAACACTAAAACTTCCTAATTCTGGTGTTTTCTCTGCTGAAACTATTTCAGGATTAACTGAAATACTTTATGCAGCAAGTGAGGGTTTTGTTTTTTTTTCCCTTAACCTATGTCATGGGCAGGATCCTTAAGGATTTGGTGAAAAGCTATGGGAGGGGGTTGGTTGCAACACTTAATATTGATTAGGATAGAAAAGTGAAAAGTAACTTGTAATGTTTATATATAAGCTTTCTCCTAAGAAGGCTAAGTTATATAATAAAGGCTGTGTTGTATATAGGGAAAAAACCAACAACAACCAACCAGTAACTCAAAATGGATCATAGACCTAAATGTATAAGTTAAACATATAAAACTCTTAGACGAAAACATAGGAGTAAATCTTCATGACCTTGGAACAGGCAATGGTTTCTTAGATATGACCTCAAAAGGATAAGCAACAAAACAAAATATAGATAAACTGAACTCCATCAAAATTAAAGACTTTGTGCTTCAAAGAATATTACCAAGAAAGTGAAAATATAACCCACATAATGGGAAAAAATATTTGCAAATCATATATCTCATAAAGGACTTGTACCCAGAATATATAAAGAACACTTATAAATTATGAAGAAAATGACAAATAATCCAATTAAAAAATGGGCAAAGGCTCTGAGTAGATATTTCTCCAAAGAAGATTTAAAAATCACCAATAAATACGTAACAGATGCTCAACATCATTAGTCATTAGGGAAATACAAATCAAAACCACAGTGAAACCCATTTTTGAACTTGGAGTACATTATGCTGAGTGAAATGAGTCAATCACAGAAGGAAAAATACTGTATTAGTTCATTATTGTAAAAAGTCAGGGAAAGGTTTATATATGGAAGGAAAACTTCTTTGTTGGTTACCAGGGGTGGGAGGCGAGGGGAGGGAACACTGTAAAAACAAAACAAAACACAATTTTAAATAAAATAAAATACAAAATAGCCACAGTGAAATCCATTTACAACAGCATCTAAAGGAATAAATACCTCAGAATAAATACCTCAGCATACCTCGGAATAAATTTAACCAGGGGAGTAAAAGACTTACACACTGGAAACGACAAAACATTGCTGAAAGAAATTAAAGATCTACATAAATGGAAAGACATTCTATGTTCATGGATTAAAAAAAAAAAAAAAAAAAAACCCACTGCCGTAGAGTTGGATCTGCCTCATAGCGACCCCTCCTTGGGGTTTCAGAGGTGGTATCACTAGGGAAGTAGATTGCCCAATCTTCCTTCTGAGGGGTGGCTGGTGGGTTTGAACCACCAGGCTTCTGGTTAGGAGTCAAATGCCTTAGGCACTACGCCAGCAGAAGATTTAATATTGTTAAGATGCCAGTACACAGTGATCTATAAATACAATACAATTCCTATAAAAACTTCAACAGCTTTCTTTTCAGAAATGAAAAAGTCAATCTTTAAATTTATATGGCATTTCAAGGGGTCTGAGTAGCTAAAGCAATGTTGAAAAAAAAAACAAAGTAGGACTCACACTTCCTAATTTTAAAATGTACTACAAAGCCACAGTAATCAAATTAGTTTGGTACTGGTATAAAAATAGACATATAGACCAATGAGATAGAATTAGAGTCCAGAAATAAATTAAATAATTAAATAAATCTATGAGCAATTGATTTTTGACAAGGGTGCTAACTCCATTTAACGGGGAAAGAAGAGTCTCTTCAATAAATGGTGCTGGGACAACTAGATCTTCCCATGGAAAAGAATGAAGCTGAACCTATAGTTCACACCATATATGAAAATTAAATCAGAACGGATCAACAACCAAAATATAAGAACTGAAACCAGAAAACTCTTAGAACAAAACGTAAGGGTAATGGTTTGGGACCTCGTTTTTGAAAATGGATTCTTAGATATGACACTAAAAGCATGTTCAACATAAGACAAACTAGATAAATTAGACTTCATCAAAGTTACGAACTTTTGGGCATCAAAGGACTTCATCATGAAAGTGAAGAGAGAACCCACGGGATGGGAGAAAATATTTGGGAACCATATATCTAATAAGGTTTTAGCATCTAGAATATATAAAGACCTTCAACTTAACAATGGAGACAAACCAACCAATCAAAAAATGGGCAAAGGACTCGATAAGACATTTCATCAAAGATGACATAACAAATGGCCAATAAGCACATGAAAAGATGTTGAATGTCATTAGTCATTTCCTCCCCTATTATGCACAGTGCTGCTGTACAAGTATCTTCTTGTATGTGTTCAACAGTCTCCCCTGGAGTATATACCCAGGAATGGAATTGTTGAAGGAGTTCTGATGGTGCAGTGCCTAAGGCATTTGACTGCTAACCAGAAGGTTGGTGGTTCAAATGCACCAGCTTTTTCAC